ATCTAAAAATATCTTATAATTTAAAATGAAGGGAGTATAAGATATTTTTAAGCAAATTACATCTCCAATAAGTTAGTTAGTTATCTTTAATTAAATAAATTAGCACTGTCTTTTTATGTTTGCTCTTAATTTAATACAATGTCTCACTTAAAAATAAATGATTGAGTAATTTATTCATTAAGAGCTTTTTTTTTAAAAATTCATTAATTACATATTAAAAATATAAAAACGTCTTATATTTTTTTTAACATGCATTATATTTCTAAAAATGGCGGAGTCGTTATTGTTTTGTCTCACTTTCTTTGAGGCACTATCAAGTATCATCTACATATTTTACACACACATGTATTTTCTATAGAACACACACACACGAGAGAGAGAGAGAGAGAGAGAGAGAGAGAGAGAGAGAGAGAGAGAGAGAGAGAGAGGAGATGAGAATGAGATACAAGCGTAAAGTCGCTTCAACATATATTCATATAATTAATATAAATGTATGATGTTATTTACCAAAAAAAAAAAAGATGTATGATATATCTGCTATCACTAGAAATGGACTAAATTAAAGTTATTATACGGCTGATTTTTTTTTTGTTTGGTATTGCGTGCGTGTTAGGGTGGGGGTTAGATATGTTAGGGACAAATTTTATGCATAAAAAATGCTTTGTATTCTCATATTAAAAAAATGAAAATTTGAAAAATTTAAATTGTGACTTTAACCCGAAGCTTGTTGAACTTTTGCCTCCGATTGATGATGAATGGTTGACGTCAGCCCTCACAATCACGTACATATTAACGTAAACAGAGCAATCTTGCACTACAACCGTGGCCAGATGGAACGTTTCGAATTTGAATATTGTATATTTAAAGAGATTGAAAATATATACTACCACATTTAAAATATTATAATATTCGAGCTTATATCAATTAGTTGTATTAAAAAATACAAATACATATATAATCTAATTCAAGAGAGGATTATATATATTTGGATGGCTTATTATATATATATTTTTTTGCATGAGCACCTGATGTTTTGGCTTACCTTATTCAAACTGTGAGGACTTAATGAGACTCAGACTAATCCAAATCAAGGCACAATAAACATTATAAAGATGGACGCTCTTGATCACTTATATTACTATATTTCTTAAGACTCGAATCCTTTTTGTGTCTTATGCTTGAAATGCAAGAGATTAATATGTGTGATGCTGATATTAACCATCAAAATTGATGAGAATGGCATTTCTCAATTTAAGCGTGCAGTCATTTTTTGCACATGATTCATGCTGATTTTTCTGTATCATTTTAATTTTATTGAATATTCTCTAAAAGACAAAGACAATGATATTTATTTTATCATGAGGATTAATGTAAAATAGAAAGAAGCTTACAGAGTTAATTAGTATGGTGCAAATTAAAAACTATTGATCGACGTTAGCAATATTGTGAATGTAATTAACCTCGATATCATAATTTGCCGGCTTTAATCTTGTTTTTATCATTTTTCGCCTTAAAACTGTCTGCCAGCTGTTGTCACAGTTCATTTTTGCTTTGGTATTTTGTTCTGATTAATTAGCTTGATCATTCTTCTCTTGATATGGGTTTTTTGACTTTTTCACATCGGCTTCGTACAACTGTCAATCTCCTGTCAAATCTTCAAAGGAATGACGTATCCATTCCCATCAAATTGGGAAGCTTTTTCGTTAAAAAAATATATTAGGAAAAATATTATTCAAGAATAAAATAATGACAAAATATTAAACAATGACAATTTTTTTTTACATATTACTGTGGGATGGAGGACTAATTTAAAAATAATTTTAAATGTAAAAAATTATAATACCTTTACTTTTTTAAGTCAATAAGTAACTATTTATTAATTAATAAGTACTTATTTATATTTAATAAAAAATCATTCATTAATTGATAAAAATTTAAAAGTTTAAAAAAGCTTCATTGTAGGAAAGAACAAATATAGATGATCATGTTTTAATGAGTAGACATTTATTAGTTAACAAATACCTATTCAAGTCATTCACTAATTGATACTCCATTTGTTTAAAAATGTAAGATATTTTTTAAGGAGTTAAATGTTTAAAAAAATATAAAGTATTTTTAGTCTTTTAAGATGTAATTATTATCTTTTTTTAAAGTATCCTTATTTATGAATGACTTTATATTTATTATAGAGTATTTAATAGAGGTAAATATTAAAAAACAGGATTAATTTGAAAGTAGATAACTATTTTATTGGAGGGTAAAATTTAATTAAAAATGTCTTATATTTTTAAACGAAAGTAGTAAGTTTTAGAATATGAAAGAGATTAGATGTGAGATAGAGAAATGTAGATCATATTTCAACAAGCAGTCATTCATTAATTAACAAGTATACATTTGCATCTAATAAGAAGTCATTCGCTAGTTAATAAGTTTAAAAATATGAGAGATAGTTGTGGAAATGGATAGGTGTAAATCATATATCAATAAGTAACTATTTGTTAATTAACAAGTATTTATTTGCTAATTAATAAGTTAAAAAAAGAAAAGAAAAACAAGGGTAGTATAATCTTTTTTTATATAAAATTATTTTCAAATCAACCACTTGATTTTACATTGATATTTTAAAGTTTTTTAATCCTTATCTTGCGTCCACTTGTTTTGCAAGCCTTGGGTGTGTAGAAATTAAGATTAAGAATTGAGGATTGCTTGGTTCAACTTATTAATTGAGTCGAATCAATTTATCTTAAGATTTTAGAATCAAGTTATGTATAGCAATGTTAGATAAAAATATTAAAAGCATTCTCAATATATTTATGAAATCATAACTGATAACAACAATCTCATATGGCGGGAGAATTCATCTTAGTTTAAGTGAGTAGTGGTAATACCCTTAAATTTTTCAGGAACCGAGTGATATCCCAATGTATTAAACAAGATAGTAACGCAGTTGGGTTTGGAGGAATGGATCAAGTTGATACAATTCAAGTAACACTAACATCCCAAGTTTAAAATCCATAAAAAAAAAATTGTCAAAAAACTTCCATTCTTTATCTATAGCTTAATTTGATTCAAATTCAAATCATTCTGTCCTATAAAATGATGAATGACTCCCACTGAATTATACTATAAAGTGGGATGGTCATTATTAATAATATTTAATAATTTATCATCGTTTCAAAAGATAGAGATCAAATTGAGGGAAAGATTGGTTATTAACTTGATCGAAAACTTGATAAGTCCATATATACACATTCATAAGTCATAAATTTAAATATTGCAGTTTATTCTCAAATTTCATGCAATTCCATGGGATCGGATTCAAACTAGTTCATGAAATTATATATCCAATCAGGAAAGAATCGAACCCAATCGGGGCTAGAATGCAAGACTATGTTACAATGGGAGGCCAAAATTAATTTTAACAATTTTTTTATTAACATGTAAAAGCAATGTAAATCCGTCTCTTATGTAATATATTAATAAAAATTATACCAGTAAAAACTAGTGTATATATTATTTTTAAAATTTCACGAGAATGCCATGGCCATGGGTGAAGAGAGGATCCAAAGTAGTGCCTGCAATTTGTAAATATAAAATCTAAACAGTAATACTGTAGCTGGTTCAACACCTACAATTATTGATCTCTTGTGCTTCATTTAAATGTACAAAACCTGTGCATGTATACGTATAACAGAAAATTATTGAACAAAACCATGAGAATGAATTCAAGAACCAGAAAGAGCAGCAGCATGAGAAGAAGAAGAGTTCATGAAGCCAAACATGGAAGTTTGAAAGGCAAGGCTCATTGAAAGCCTAATGATTTGGAGGAGGCGAGGAGCATGGCCTTCATCGTCCTGGTCGAGTGGTGACGGCTGAGGTTGTCTCAGTTTGTAATTACCTTCCTGACCTTCTCTGTTTGAGTCACAATTACTGTTAAGCCACCGGGTTGCTTCGTTAATTTAGTGAGCGGATATCTTTACACCAGTTAAATTTAGAGGGTACAGGTTTAACATTAGTTACTATTTTTATAGTGTTAATATTTTTTATTTTAATAGATACAGAATCAAAAATAAAAATAATTTTATTTTAAAAATTATAAATTTAAAACTATAAATATGAACCGCCTAAATTGGATTTAATTTGTTCAAATCTCGCCTCTGTAATGGGTACTGAGCAGAATCATATTCTTTCCCTTGTTAGGAGAGGTGGTGGATAGTCCAATTATTGAAAAATTATATCTGACAAATTAAATTTAATTATAAACCATATTTATAATAAAATGTTTATAAATTTTAATTATTTGAAAGTTCAAAATTTGGTTGACTTTTACAAGAGTTATTCCAAAAAAATTATTAACAACAGCTTTTTAAAATTTAATAACTATGTTTTCAAGTACATTATGTAAGTTTTGAGCAACGAGTTATATTATTTTGACATGTAAACAGTACAACTTACTAAAATTTATATTTTCTATTATTTGTGGAATTATAAAACTACTTTGGTTTTTGTTTTTAAAAAATCCTTAAAAAGCATGAATATTTTTAAAACTTGGATCATGAAATATAGTTATTCCGTAGGGACTTCTAATTAGATAAGATGAATGAAACGGGGCCTGTTGTGGTAAAAAATCCAGTGGAATTTTAACCCGTCGCTTACGAAAACGTTTGATTTAATTTTCTTTTCAAGCTCAAGTAAATATTTAGTCCTTTAATTTTATATAAAATTATATTTTAATTCCTTATTTTTATAAAGTATCTTTTTAGTCCTTTAACTTTAATAGTATTAGTTTTATCTTGATAAATTTTCACATTATACTTTTAAATATTGACAAAATGTTTTTAAATATTGAGATATTAAATTTAATTTTTTCAAAATAACAATGATTGATATAAAAAATAATCATTTAAAACTATTGAATGTTAGAGTTAAAGGACTAAAGAAATACTTTATAAAATTAAAGGATTAAATTAAAATCTTATATAAAATTAAAAGATTAAAAATATACTTTATACTCCTTTCTATTAATGGAAGAACAAGGCACCATCGTCACTCTAGTGGAAGTATATTGAACTAGTCCCTCGTAAAATATAAACTAGCATATATTTATTCTATATACGAAACACTTGTTCCAGGGTGACACATAAATTCATGGAGACATTTTGAGCTTAACCCTAGAATTAAATAGCAGTTTCTTCCGTGAGGAAGGGTTCCATATGTCCACATCTTCAGAAAGTTTAGGTGCTATAGCTCTGCATCAAAAATTAATAGAAACCTGATAATGAGCAAGGCTAAACTCCACAAAAAAAGATCTGACTCAGATGAACACGAGACAATGATGGATGTTATACCTAAATAAGGTGGCATGGCTCCCGAGTTACAACATATTCTGGTGCCGAAGTCTTAGAACCGTCTAATCACGAACAGTTTGGTGTAAATACGATGCCAGCGCTCTCTTGCATAGATAACCCAAAAGATTAAAGACAGCATTACAGCTGCAGATACGACGACCAGTCCAACGTAAATCCAGAGACTATATTTCAGCAGATTGGGGCAGTAATTGTTGCTGATGTTTTTGAATGTTTTCCGGACAAAGCTACAGTCCGCCAGATTGATTAAAAATGGACTGTAATGGTACAAGCCATAGCTCACATTCACAGCCGCTACCATTTGGGAGTATATGGCTGGGGTCATCCTGCCGGGTGAGGAGCAAATGCCCGATGATGAGACCCGGCAAGTGTAATTCCTCCAAACCTGCTTGTAACAATGCAAAATATAATATATTATTAGCACGTAATTTGGATGGAAATAAGTAGACAGTGACTCATTTTGGTCCACCAAAAATGGTTTCTTTATCGTTTTGATAGTTGATTCTCCAAGGATAGGAGATTATCATTCTGTGGACTTGGAACAAAACTATGCTTGTGGTTTGTGACACATACTGATTATGTCAGAGATGGTCCAAGATCAAGGGGTTAAAAACCATGATCTGGGTAGCAATGTCTGGGAAGCAATGTCTGGTCAGGATTTTCGGCCACAAAATTTCACATTCGAATGGAAATAATCTACCTTGGTAGCGTCATGCAAGGTCACTTCCCCAACGGCACACTGCCTGGGTGTGAGGTTAGAATCGAATGGACTGCAAAGGAAAGGCATTGGGGGCCCTGATTGATTGTAATACAGGGGTCCAGCAGAAGATGGGAAATTCCTATTTGTGACATTGGAAATGATGGAGTCAACTATCATAACAAGTTGGTATGTCACTTCCTTGCTTCGGAATAAGGCTTCCTGGGCTGTTCCATTGTCCACGCATGGAAGAATATTATCCAAGGCTGTATGAGCTGTAGGGTGCTGAACCCACTCATCCATAGCAACACATGAATCTCCCACGACACTAGTGAAAATATGCAAGAAGGCAACTATATATAGTTAATATATGCAGCATAAGTGAAAATAACAGCCATGAACTTCATCAAATGATATAGAATGAGCATCCCCACAATTACTGCAAAAATGAACGGATAAAACAAAGTCCCAAACGAGATTTTAATAAAGCTTTCAACAAATGATTGTTCTCTCTCTTTTTCTCTCGCGTTGACAATTTTTTTTTTTTTTGACCAAAGCATGACTTAGCAAGTCTTGTGTCATGTACACATGTATGCCAAACTTATGTACAGGCACATGACATCATAAGCAAAGGTTTTAGCTCAGTACTAAATTTATTGAAAAACTTGTATCTGATTTTTTTCCGTGATATTCAATTTCGTAACTTCTGATGCTGTCCTGTTATTCGTTGTTTTGGCTACAGAACAATCTGTAACAGTATTTTTCTTTCCAATAGGCAGCACGGAGAAATTGTCATGCATTAAACCAATTCATTCCAGGCACAATTTCTAAAAATTTACAGGACATTAGGCAATAGTTAGTTCCTAGTTGATAGGTCACAACTCAATGCAAAAGCTAAAAAAGCCTACTAATATTGCACCAAAAATCTGATATCAGCAAGACCACAAGCACCGAAGCACATCCTTTTTCAAACTTCCAGATACAAACCCCACGGAAGGCAGGACCTGAAAATTTACTTATATAATAAAGCTTAACCCTGATTTTACCAGGAAAAAAGGGCTTAGCCTCAAATCTCCAGGTCATTTCTGCATAAGTAAAAGGAGTTTGTTCATAATACACTGATGACAGATGTTAAAACAACAGTTAAAGCACCATATTTAACAATCTAAAAATATACTCAACATTTCAACAAATTTCATCATATAAGATTCTTCCACTCTATTTCAGCTCGCAAATCACAAGCAGTCCACGGCTAAGTTATATCTAATAGTTCACAAAAGCTCTTAGTTGATTCCACATAATTGACCTGAAATTTGTTTAATATTGCTTGAAAAAGGTTGTCTTCAAGGTTCCCTATCAAGGGCAAATTCTCAGACTACATACATAACTAAGTTCTAGGCTTTATCTCAATTCCCACGAGGGCAAAGAACATAGCAATAGGCTAACGAAAAATGTTTCTATGTCAGGATGTATCTATGAAATTAAGGCAACAAGTACAATCTAATTGGATATTCCATGCAAGAAAAAACTTACTTATGAAGAAATAGAAATACACCGCACAGAATAAATGTGCCAGCAACAAGAATCCAGCCAACAATAACCAAGCTGCAGCAATCAGAAATGCATCAGTTACTGACTGATACTTAAATGGAATATAATAAAAATTGCAACTAAACAAACCAGAAGGGGGACACCTAAATATCTTGGTGAGTATGACTTACAAGTATACAAGAGACTGAATCCCACACATGGAAAATACTACAAAATAAAAGTTATCACAAACAAAAGCAAATGAGATATGATTTTTCTAAAACTTGAGTATAAGCAATAACACCAGAATATATAAGACGATCATGAAACATACAGAATCCAAGAAATGCAAGAAAGAGCATAGCAGCAGCGACAATGATCAGAGTCGATCTCCTACAGGGAATAGCAGAGGATGAATATATGTAAGAGATATTACAAACGCTAGATTGAGATTATAAACTTTTACTTACATTCCATTTATGCCATTTTGTATATCCTTTGAATTCTGCTTAGTCTGGCTAGAAAGCGTGGCAGCAGCATTGTCTATTTTTGATTTAACATCGTTGATGTTCTTCTGAACATTTGGTGGCAAAAAAACTGCATCAACTCCAATCACCTTAGCTGTATCAAGATAACTCGACACGCTCATGAGATTTTTAGCAGTGAAGTCAGCCTGACTCACAACATAATCTAGAGTTTTTGAGGTGCTGGTGTAAAACTTTCCTTGACCAGTGTACAGGATAACGCATCCAGCTCTGAAATCATTAAAATTACACGCATAAGGAGTCACAAAAGTGCCGGCAAAAACAAACAAGCATAACACAAGATTCGTTTTCAGGAGATGGGGGGAGAGAGAGACATTGCCGCAAGGGTGAAAAGGATGAGGAAGATCAGGGACAAAGCATAGGCTACTCGAGAATAGCCATAAGGCTCTGTAGGACAACAACAGTAACACAGACAGATGAGGGATAAGCAAAGCCCAAACATCACGAACCAGGCTGCCGCAATGACAAAGAAGGGAACCGCAGTAAAAATTACTGACTGCACGAGGGTAAGAACAAGTTAAAGTTAGCGGTGCATTACTGCATTATAATACCGGAAGCCTACCTAGACAAGAAGAAACATTAAAAATAATCAACTTTAAATACATAATCCTCCAATAATATTTATAAGACGTTCATCGAAATTTAAGAAAAACTTCACAGATAATTGATTTTTTTAAATTTTTTTCATGAATTCTCAAGTTTATTCCTTTTAAATATATATACTTCAATACTGTACTTTTTCTCAATATGATTAATGAAAGTAAATGGGAAAATTTATAATAAAAGCAAAGAACATGTCATATAAGTAGGACAATCCCCCCCCCTTTGCATTATAAATTGAACAAGTACATATATACATGTACAAGACAACATTATATCCGTATATTCAAACTTGGTCTGGAATTCAAGGACCTCACCTCGCATTGTCTGTATTTGCACATTAGTATGAAGAACCAAGAGCTTACAGAATCAACAACTAAAGCTAGAGAAGATAACAGAGTGCCGTCAATTTCAAAACAAACTGCTCCGTTTCTTTTGTTAATATAAGCAAAAAATATACTATGTTATCACCATTACCGAGAGAGAGAGAGAGAGAGAGATGCAAAAAGTACATGACGAGGGAAATTTCAGGAAAAAAGAAAACAGAGAGAAATAAAGAAACTAACGGCATAATAATGTTGATTGCTGATATTCCAACCGCCATTGTAAAGATTAAAATGGTCGAGCGGATCTTTCCGGCGAGTTCTTTCCCGAGCCAACACGAGAGACGTTTTGGCCGCAGTGTCGTCGGCCAGTGGTCTCCTCATATCCTGCGTCAGCTTCGCATGATACGGTCTTAAGCTCACCAAATCCACACTATCTAAAAACCATACTCAAACTTTAAAAATAAATAAAGAACAACAAATTGTAGACAAAAAACAGAAAGACAAAGAAAGATTTTACCGGGGATGACAGAATGGAGAGGATGAGAACTCGGTGAGGCAGAAATGAATAACACAGCGAAGAGAAATAGAAAGAAAAAGAGACGAAGAAAACAAGGCTTCGATCTGAACCACAACATTGTGTCAATGCTTGTGTTTCCGTTCACCATTCACATACGCACTGACTTTAGAGAGAGAGAGAGGGGGGGGGCGAAGAAGAAAGAGATAGTGAAAATGGTAGGTGCTCTGCTTTATTTGCAGGTGAGATTTTCCGCGTTCAATTCCATTATGTTGCGTTTTGGAAAGCGGTTGACCTTTTTATACTTTGTTTGGCCGCAACATTTTGTGTGACCAAAATACCCTTTATTCTTTTTTTTTAATTGATAATAAATGAATATGCTCCGGCTTTTCGCAGCTGATGGCTTGATACTTTCTTGATGCTCTACTTCCGCTACGTCGAGTGCTGACAAGGCGCGCCCACAAGATTGGTATACTCACTGTTGAAATGACAATCTTGTCCACCCTTTCAGCACAATGATATACTACTAGCATAAAATATAAAATTTAAAAAAAAAAACTTATGTATAACTATATAAGTAGAGTTTTTTTGGCAAAAAATGTTGACAAATTGTAATTGTAAATATTTTAAAATATATAACTATATGAAAATTTTAATGTGAAATGAATTAAAATATTGCATATAACAATAAATTAAGATGAAATATATCAAAAAATAATTTAATAAAAAGTTATCTCATGCAATTTTTCAATTTATTATTTAAAATGACAAATTAATGATGACTTATAACTGATTTGAGCGTTAGCTATGTCAAAACATGAATTTCTTGCATCTATGTAACTGATTTGAACATTAGCTAGGTAACATATAAATGTGGGAGAAAATTTTAGGTAAATTTGATATACCACATCATCTATAGCCTGCTTAATAAAATTATATTAATTGAATCAAATAAAATATAGTGTGTCATTATTTTAATGATTTTATTTTTATAATGTAATATCTATTTAATTTCTTACCTTTTTTTTTTATACTACCATCAATATCATAATTAATTTACATGTAATGCTATTTAAATATCATATTTTTATTGGATGGATTATAGATGACATGGTGTATCAAGTTTATTTAAGAATTTCTCTAAACATGGAAGTAAAACATGCATTTTGAAATTATGAACATACATTTGATGCAAACTGTATTATCCATTTTTAATTTTATTAGTTTTGTGCATGCTGAGGTTAAGTATTATACCAATTGTAGGCATGATATGTTTACCATTTTCAAATCGGTTTAACTTCCAAAACGATATTTTTGTTAATCAAAGTTGAAATTACACGAGATAAGTAGATATGAATTTTAAAAACTTGAGATCTTCATCAACCTTGATACTTATTATTGATTAGAAATATGATTTCGTAGTGATATATGCTCAAAATATATCTATACAAATAACTGATTTTTTAAAAAAAATTTACAACTCGGAACATTTTAAGCATTTTGATCTATTAAATTATATTTATTCAATTCAGGAAACTAGTTCATTGTGCAATGTGCATATAAAGTCAGTTGCAAACTTTAGAATATTTATAGATAAGTATAACTGAAGATTTAGGTATAAGAAAGTATAATTTCACCCACCAACTATATTTTTTCTTTACTATTCTTCTTACTTAAGGAAAGATTTATATATCTCTCTGTGTGTGTTATGAGGGATAGTTTATGAAAATGACCCAAACTCGATCTACTTGCACTTTACGCTTGATTTTTATTTTTCATGTTCATCTTGATAAAGTGTTAATTATTTATTTTAGCAATTTTGCTCTTGTCTATGGTTAATACACCCAATCCATTCATAATTATTTAGCGTACATTAACTTAGGTGAAAATAAAAAGATATTGGGAGACTAATTCTGAAACAATAAATTTATAATGGGTTAATATACAATTTAAATCTTGATCTATAAGTTTAGGGGCAATTTGAACCCTAAACTTTTGAAAGGTATATTTTAAATTTTAAATAATTAAAATTGAGATAATTTCGCCCATATAAAATGTCAACAAATATTCGTTAAATTAGGGTTTAATGTGCAATTTTTATCAAATTTTACACTCCCCTCTCCACTCCTTTCGTGAAAATTGCATTCTTGGCCCCATTTTGTCGGACATTTGTTGAAATTTAATAGTAATAATAAAATTATTTTAATTTTAATTGTTTAAGATTCAAAATATATTTTTTAAAAGTTTAGAATTTTTCACTTTTGAATTTATAGTTCAAAATTTAAATTGTATATTAACCCATTTATAACTGTTAGATCTTTGATTATTTTTTTTTTGTAAACTCCTGTAAATATTAATTAGAAAATTGCAAATTTATAAGTTTTAATCAGACATTTAAAATATAAATATAATTCTCAATTTGTAAATAAAATTCTTATTTGCAAATTTTTAAAACAATATTTACAATTTAGTTTTTTTAATTTTTTGTCAGTGTTATGAATTCTCTATTTTGGGATTTTATTATCATTCTCCCAAGATATTTCTTAAAATTATAAAATACCTGCATTTAGATTTATTTTTCAGTTTTGAATTTTTTATCATTAAGTTGGGTAAAAAACCTCAGTAAGAAACAGATGTAATGTTCAAAAAAATTAAATAAAATTATCACAAGCAATGTCAAGTCATTAATTGAAACAACATTCTAAGGACGATATGAACTTTCATAAAATCACCTTCTAATTAGAATGAGTAATAATTTAACTAACATTCAAAATAACTACAAAATATTACGCAATTACTTATGCACACATAATAATAGGGGATAATGTCTGCATAGAATTATATGTAAAATAAAAGTTATCTTAAAATTTAAAATAAATTGTCTAAAGCAATCATACTCAAGTAACATAAAAATGGGCTAAATTAAATGACGAGCATGTTAGGTACACATAATATAATGTAAAATAAGAGATTCATTTTAAAATTTTAAATAAATTTTCACCTCTACTTTAAAAATAATAAGTACTATTAAGTGATAATTTTAAAGATCTAATAGACATGGATAAAAAATAAATAAAAAAAAATCGGTGATCAAATGAAGGTATAGTGAGCTATAGAGAATATAGCGCTTGGATAATTTTTAGCTAGCTAATGTAATTTGTCTTTATATGTCAATTTTAAATCTATTGATTTGATGAAAATCCTATCAAAAATCACTTAAAACTAAAATTGAATGACCATTACTTGCACTCGACTTGTTCTCGTGAACATTTGGCCGAAAAAATAGAAAGAACTTGTCCTTGTGAACATGTACATAGAGGTGTAGCTGCAAATTTTGATATGCCAAAATCAATTTAAACCTTTTGTTTAAACCAGCTTACTGGTGCACATATCAAGCAAACAACATTGTAGATTCACTATGAAAACAGTCTGCAATCCAATTAGGTGATGTGAGTGAGGAATTAGCAGTTCAGCTAAACTTTGCATGTGTTCACAGAGTTGCTCTTTACATGTGGTGAAACCTGAAAGACAGTGTTCATCATCCACAGTAAAATCACCTAATGTGCAAAACCAATTTTTTCACGAACTTTCAATCATTGCAGGGTCCTGGAAAGAAAACCTTGCAGCAAGATTTTGTCAGCTTTCTAGATGCTTCATTACGATTTTGACAACCTGCAACACCCACTGACAGTCATAATTATCCAACATACTGATATGGGTGTCCTACATGTTAACAAATAATAAGCAGAATATTCTCAAATCACTGTCAATTTCTTGGCTGAAAATTCTATTGAGCATGAGTTTCGAAAAGATTACAGCCACAAAGAGTCTAATTACTGATTAACTAAGGAAATGAACACAGGAGAAGATTTCCAAGAAAAAGAGAAGGAATTCACAGAGGAGGAAAGCCAGAGACAACAACCCAAATTCTCCACACCCTCTCTAACGTGTGCATAGTCTTTATCCTGAATTACTCTCTGAACCGTACAGGACTTTGCTTGCACTGCGTTAACGATCTGCAGCAGCATATTGTCCTTGGTGCTATTGGTCCCGTGTGGGGACCAATCCCATTTTTTAGCATAACATCTCCCTCTCCATCAGGAATGACCTTGTCCTCATGGTCAAAATCTGGAAATTGCGTGGTGAGATAAGAATTCCCAAGTCTTATTTTCCAGGCCATCCCACTGAACCTAAACACGAGGCTCCCAATTGTTAGGAACCTTGACATAACGGATATCAAGAAATTCAAGAGACTGAATGTTTGGGCCTTCTAATGAAGTAAGGAAATGTACTGAGCATCAGGGTCTCCCTCACACTTCTGAAGGATAGAAATATGAAAAACTTGATGAACTTTAGCATCAGAGGGAAGATCTAAGCGATATCGAACAGAACCCAATCTCTCTAAAATTTTGAATGAACCAAAATGCCTCATTCCCAATTTCTGATTGGGATGAAGACGAACTGATAGTTGGCGATAGGGTTGCAGCTTAACAAAGACCCTATCATCAACATTAAACTCAAGTTCAGTTCCTTTCTAACTAGCAAACTTGGCCATCCTGGCTTGTGCTCATTCCAGATTGAACTTGAGTTGGAGCAGAAGCTTGTTACGGCGCTGCAACATGGAGCGGACATCTTGAGGAGTGTCATGGTCAATGCTGTATGGTACATTTGAAGAAGGATCTCGACCATATAAAATTTTAAATGGAGACATGCCTATAGCAATGTGGTAAGTGTTATAGGAGTATTCAGCCCAAAGAAGGCGTTGAACCCAGAGATGAGGTTGCTAAAAAACATAGCAACGTAGATACATTTCAAGGCACCTATTAGGGACCTCAGACTGCCCATAGAACTGAGAATGACAGGTTGAACTCATGTTAAGGAAAGTACCTGGGCGCTTGAACAAATGACACTAAAAATTGCCGGTGAAGACTTTGCCCCTATCAGATACAATAGACTTGGGAATCCCATGAAGCTTGACAACATGCTGGAGAAAAGTTTAAGCAACTTGAACAGCACCAACTGAGGCCTTGACTGGTGCAAAATAGGCAAACTTGGACAAGCAGTCCACCACAACCATGATTACCATGAAGCCTTTGGAGGGAGGTAGTCCAACAATGAAATCCATTATGATATCATCCCAAACTTGTTGGGAATAGGTAGAGGTTGTAGCAACCTGGCAGGATGTTGAGTAGAAGATTTTGCTTGTTGACACACCGTAAATTGCCTGATGAAGCTCTTAACATCAGCCCTACACGGTTAAAAGTCTTCAGAGATCCTGCATGGAGAAGAGTGGAATTCCCATAGGATCTTGTCAATGATGGTTCAGTCTCGTGAAGGTATCACCAGGCATCCCTTCCAAAACAAGAACCCATCAATAAGCTGATAGTGGGGTAGGGCCAAAAGATTCTGCTCCATTTCTTGTATTAATCTCTGATGAGATTCTGAATCAGCCAGAGCATGTTTAATGGTGACCAGGAATGGAGTGCATGTTTAATGGTGACCAGGAATGGAGTTAACGGATATGATAGATACATACAACATGAATCGGAAAGTGCATCGGCAGCAATATTCAATTGAGAAGGAGTAACCCATCAGCTTTAAGCTGTGATGGTCTGTTCGAATGAAGCTATGGCCAAATAAATAATCGTGAAATTTTGCCGTGGGTTCAAGTATAGCATGCAATTCTCAAGCTTAAACAAATTACTGCTGCATTCTAGAAGAGAGTTCCTTGGAGAAATAGGTTATAGGGTAGCCTTCTTGGGATAAAACAGCCCCAATACCTTGCCTGGAAGAATTGGTTTCAAGGATAAAGGACACTGGAAAAATCCGGAAGCACAAGAGCCGGTGCTGAATTGGAGCTTTCTTCAAATTGTCAAAAGCGATTTGAGTAGAATCATTCCAAAAAAAAAACGATCAGTAAGAGATGCTGCAATTGAAGCATATCCCTTGATAAATCTCCTATAGTAAATGGTGAGGCCCCAAACCCCCCTTAATTGAGATACACTTTAGGGTACTGCCCAATCTTGAACAGCACAAACCTTAGCAGGGTCCATTTCCACAGCCACACCCGATACACTATGGCCCAAATAGTCAATTTTGGATTGGCCAAAAGCACATTTTGAGAACTTGGCAAGAGCTGATGTTCGTGCAGCAAAGAAAAGACAGTAGATAAATGTTCTAGATGCGGATCCCAATCAGCAGTGTATTAGTATATCATCAAAGAAAACCAGGACAAATTTCCTTAAAACAGCCGAAAAACATTCATTTTAGGCTTGGGATGTGTCCAGGGCATTGGTAAGACCAAAAGCAGGACAACCCATTCATATCGCCCATTGTGAGTTCTAGAAGTTGTTTTATGACAATCCTCTTCGCGCACCAAGATTTGATATCCTGCATGAAGATCGAGCTTAGAAAAAAATTGTTATCCATGCAACTCATTTAATAACCCATCCACCATGGGAATAGGAAACAAATACTTAATAGTTACAGAGTTTAAGGCTTGATAATCCATACAAAAACACCATGTACCATCTTTCTTCTTAACTAGTAAAACAGGGGCAGAAAATGGGTTGTTGCTTTCCTGAATCAATCCCGTGCACGCCTTGTACCATACGCTCAATTTCACTCTTTTGAGAAAATGGGTATCTAAATGGTCTATCTTAACTGCAGTGGTTCGTTCCTGTAAAGGAATGGAGTGGTCTCTTGGAACAAACTGGTGGTAGCCCCTTCAGCACAGCAAAAACAGAAGCATAATGCACAATAAAGCTTCGCAAATCAGCTTAAAAAATTTAAAGGAATATCCAACTTAGGGACCAGAGCGGATTGCAAGGAAAAACACTGGACAGTGTATACTGTATCTATAGCATCCATGTCTAAAACAATGAAGTGTTACATCAGAAACACCAATTTCAGTGATGCCTTGAAGAGTAATGATCAATGATTTAAAAATTAGACTACCAACTAGAGCCAACAATAGCTTGGTTTGGACCAAAAAATTATTTTCATTATTTTTCCAAATTAGATCAAAGTTGAAAATTTGAATTTGAAAATTAGAGTTAATCTGGAAACTAGAGCAGTTTTCAAAAAAAAAAAAAAAGGATGGTTTTAAACATAAAAAAAAAGCTCAAAAAAATTTAACAAAACTAGAAAAATTCTAAAATTAGATCTTACTAAGAGACATTATTTTTGAATAATTCACATGTATAAAATATGATTTGAGATCATTTTTTTAATAAAGATGTTGACAATTATATATGCAAATATAAATATTTTTAAATCTACTCATATCTAATTTAACCAAAACCCACCTATATTTGACTAGTTATAAAGTTATAATTTAAATGTTATTAATTTACAGTTATGTTATGTCATTTTATTAACATACTATAAATTTTTTTCTTGTATTTATTTCATATATATACATTTAATATTATTTTTATTTTATTATTACGTCACCAGTTCGACTATTGGTTGAACCATGCGAATTTTGAACAATTGGCCTTTTCGATTCAATATCCAATTTGGTTCTAAAAACATTAATAATGACCTCATCCCCCCACTAGAATTGAATAATACTTGGAGTGATAATAAAAAAAATATTAGGACCCAATGTTTCAAGCACTGTCATCATATTTATACATGGCCATTTCAATTCTCATGTTACTTTTTTGTTTTTATTTTTTAATTCATATTTCTAAAATATAATTTATACATATTTATACCCAACAAGTATGATGAAATGAAAAAAATGCAAGAAATATATATGAATTATGTATATATGTATATATTTTAAAGTCTAATTTTCATAACACTGGTTTCAAGCCAAGAAGCAGAACAACCACATCACAACCAAAATTGGGTACAACACATACGAGTAAAATAGTAGAATGATTACCGGTAGAAAGAGGAAGGGAATGAATCAAACCTTTCAAATGCAAAAAATAACCATCACCCACTCACTTTTAGACAAGACACCAGTTCAATTGGTAGACCCAAATGTCGTGCTGCCCAAAGTTGAAAAAACTATCGAAGCTAACCCTATCAAGGAATATACTAACTTGGAAGCCATTAATATAACCCACAAACCTAGTTGTTGAAGTTCTTGGTGTACCCTCAAATGCTTGGAGAGATAAATGCTGGAAGCTTGATATGGGTTCTTCGATCGTTAATTTAGTGACAACCGGAGTTGGTATAGATGAGTCATTTCACCCGCACCTGTGAGTAATAGCATTAACTTTTTGTTAGGGCGACGATGAGAGGCAAAGTACTTGGCATCACAAGTGAAGCAAAGGAGACATACGACGCATCTGAGGGGATGGTTTGTACCCATTGTTTATAGACAAGGGGGAAGCCAAAATTTAAAAGTGAGGGAGTAGAAATTAAAAGGCATATCATATAATATATTATAAAGATTACATAAATCTTAGGTAGTTGAAAATATATAATATCTATGCAATATCAAGAAAAATAAAAAACTCAGGAATCAATCATGGCCCACGCCAGCCCCCACTCCTCGACCCTGTTAATGGGTCTTGAGTTGATGCTCCTGAGCTGCTCTCGTCATCTTTCAGACTCTTGCTTTCCTGGTTGCTGGTATAAAGGGGTTTAAGACAGATTAATCCCGAATACATGCTTGTCATAATGAATTGTACCATTTCTAAGCTTCTACACGTGGGAGAGTCAGCTTCCAGTTACCATTTGTAGAAGAGAGTTGCATTGTCGATCTCCGGCGCATTAAACACATGACTCCTCTGTTGACTTTAGACCGATGGCCGAGAGTAAAAGAAATTTTAGATGAATAACAAATTAAAATTCGAGAGTCTGCACGTTAGTATAAATATGAGTTTTGAATCATATTTCAACATATCTTAAAAGCTCTGGAATCTGATTCAACCAAAGATCTTAGAATTCAACATATCTTATGAGCGATATCCCAAAAGCACGTCGCCACACCATGCTGGCTTTTTGGTATTGCATTTGCATCGCTGACTAATAAAAATCATGAGGAGGTATACCCGCATCAATCAAATCCTCCGATGATGTGTGTCCTTCCAGAGCTAATATAATCTACACGTACCACCATCATATAAATTCATGTCACAGAAATCATGAACGATGGAAGGGGCTTCGTAGGTGTGACTAGGGTAGAGGGCTTCAAATGGGATGAAGAAAGGAGGCCTAAAGAAGCCTTTTGATTAAATACTCACGTCAGGGAAACTGCTTGCAACAGTGTACGAGGAGAATGGGCCAAAACCTCCCTAAACTGAAGGAACAATCGCGAAAAGCCTCAGGAGATAGACCCACTGTTTGGGTTTGCCAATCCAATACCATAAACTCTATAATATTGAGCAACAGAAGTTGTTTGGGCCAGTTTGAATAGTCGCGTCTGGGAAAGGCCCAAATTGTTCTTTAATGACACACAATTACAGTGCCCACATAGGGACCTATTGAGCTTGTTTTAACATCTAGAACCAAGGGACAACAGAGCCCTCAAAATGCAAAGAAGCAATAACTGTTCCAAATCTGGAGTATTATAAGTAAAGAACTGTTCAAACCTGAAAATCCAAGTTAATGGATATTTACTGTTGAAATACAGAAAATCTAGCTTCATTTGTTTCCTCTGACCATTAGGGATTATATTCAGAGATATATGAGTAGGATCCCCACCCGATGAGTTCAAACCTTCTGGGCCAAAAATATGAGGGCTGTGATCAATAGTTGGAGTCTATAGTTCCAAATGGCTAGAAATAAATTCCAGGTTTGCTTTGACTCGCTCCAAACGTAAGTTAGTATCAACTTCACGTTTGTCACAAACAGCCACTTCATCAGAAAGATGTTTTAGGCCTGCCTGAATCTTCTTAAGGCAAATCCTGTCAGCCATAGAAAATCAATGAAAGCACCAAATGATATGGGTGTCCTGCAACTTCAAAAATAATAAGCAAAATATTCTCAAACCACTGTCAATTTCTTGGCTGAAAATTCTGTTGTGCATAAGTTTCAACAAGATTTCAGCGCCAGAGTCACAGCACTATTACAATGAAACGACATTACAGATTAACCAAGGAAATCAAATAGAGAAATAAAGAAGGGGAACAACAACAAAATTCTCCGCACCCTCTCTAACATAATCTTTTTCCTAAATTACTCCCTGAACCGTACAGGAATTTGCCATGTCAGAGCAGTCTAAAGGTCTGTTGCAGCGTATTGCCCTCAATGCTATGGTCTAGCGCCACCTTTCTGATGTGGGGACCAATCCCCTTTTTTAGCACAAGTGCATAACACCACAAGTGTATTTTTTTTTTTCAATTTTTTATTAGGTGTACAAATCAATGTAAACAATACCAATAAGTCAAATTAAATCTTTAACTAAACCTTAAGATACTTAATGATGAGGGTCAAGTTTAAACAAAACCATGGCAAATTATAGAATCTTCCTTTACACATCTTACGCAGCCAAGAGTAGACTTAGCATTCTACAAGTTTAGACATATCTTTACAAAATTTTCAAAGAGGAAGAACTACTAAAGAATATGAGTTAAATTAATCATTTTCTCATTTTTAAATTAAATTATTCAATATTATCTATGTTTCTCCAACCACAAGGATAATGAATACTTGTTTACTGCAACTGGAAACCACTCATTTGATAAGATTCCAGATAGTATTCCCGTAAAGACTTATTTAAGAAGGGAGCATCGGAAAATAAATTAGGATTGATTTCATTGTTTATTTTATTCAGTATTTTATTTTTAGACATTTCTTTAGATTCAGTATTTTATTTAGTCAGACTTTATTCTTTAGATTTTATTTAGATTCAGTATTTTATCTATTCAAATTTTATTTAGCATTTTAGATTTTAGGAGATATTATTTAGTTATCTAGATTTTATTCATCATTTTAGATTGTATTTAGCATTATAAATATGACTAGCAACTTAGAAGCTAGGATATCATCTTATCAATAAAATAGTCTTTCAAACCCTTTAGAGATTCTCCTGAATGTGGCTTAAGAGAAATATAGAATGAAATTCTCATTCTATATCATCCTAATAGAGTTGTTCTTATTTTAGTTATTTTGAGCACCTATCAATTTGGTATCAGAGCCATGATTACCACACGTACTGGCCAAGAAATTAACCCTTCTGACAATTCATCCAACAATGACCCAAAAAATCCAAACTCACTTATGTCAGATCATTTGGCCAAAATTGTGCAGCAACTCGAAACTCTTGATTTATTAAAAGAAAAGGTAGAAGCACTTGAAGCCTTGGCAATCAATAAAAACAAGAAACTTGGCACTATTATGAAGATGAAGAAAGCGAAGACAATAAGAAAATCGTAGATGCACCAAATTTCATCGCACCAAAATTGAATTTCCAAAGTTTAGTAAGGGTGATCCACAAGGATGGCTTTTAAAGGCTAAAAAGTACTTTAAGTATTACAACACACTTGAAGAAGAGAAGGTGGACGTAGCCTCACTAGCACTGGAGGGTGACACACTAGAACAGTTCACCTGGATCAGTCACGAACGAACACTTAACTATTGGGACGAGCTTGTGACAGCATTCCAAGAGAATTTCGGACCACTTGAATACCAAAATCCAAACGAATTTCTTTGCAGCATGAGGCAAGAAGGTTCAGTCCAAGAATATTGCACAAAGTTTGCCAAACGATCGGTGAGAGTCAAGAATTAGCCAGAGCATTGCTTGCTCAATGTTTTTTTGAATGGATTAAAAGAAGAATTATGCTCAGATGTCAGAATCCATAAACCACGATCAGTTCACAGAGCAGTAAGTCTGGCTCTAGAAATCGAAAGCAAAACGCAGCTTACTCAGAAGAGACCCAGCTTACTCTAAACCCAAACTTGCTATCACAACCCAAGCACACCTGGGGCACATGACCAGAAGAACTCTGAAGTTCCTTTCTCGACATCTTCGCAGAGAACATCAGCGTCAATGCCATCAGGCCCCAGATCAGCAAGTGTAGCGTTGACAAAAAACTCTTTCCATGGATTTTGAACACCAACGCAGGAGAGACAAGGGCCTATGTTTCTACCATGGTGACCTCTTTCGACCTGGGCACTGCTGTCGTGGGTCTTTCTCTCTCATGGAGATTACAGAGGAAGGCGATAAAGTTGCCCTTCCTCTTGAAGACGGTGAACCTGAGGATATAAGGATAGAAGGGGCAGAAATTTCATTAAATGCTATATTGGGTAGCAACACAGGTTTAACTATGAAACTTAAAGGTATGCTGCTCACAAGAGAAGCACTATTATTAGTGGATAGTGGGTTTACTCATAATTTTATATCAAACTCATTGGTACAAAAACTGTGTCTTCCTACTCATTATATTTCTGCATTTAGAGTCCACATTGGGGATAGCAGTATTGTACATTGCAACCGAGTATGCATAGACATGGGAGTTAAGCTCACAGAACTGACTATTAAGGAAGACTTTTTTCCTTTTTCCTTAGGAGGAGCCAATCTGATGCTGGGCATTAAGTGGCTAGCATCTCTGAATACGGTGAAAGCCAACTGAAATGAGCTTTTTATGATTTTATGGTTGAATAGCAAGCGGTATAAGCTACAGGGAGTCCTTAATACTACTAGTGGTGCTCAATTTAATTCAACGCAACAAATAGAAGCCTCCACCAACTTTACACCTTTCCAATGTTTCAATCTGGAATATTTATTTGTAGAATTTTCATTTGTTTTTGAAGAACCCACAAACTTGCCACCATTTAGAAATCACTCACATGCCATTCCCTTATTACTAGGGGCCAACCCTCCTAATTTACGACCATATAGGTATTCACATTATCAAAAAGCCGAGATTGAGAAGCAAGTTGAGGAATTACTTAAAAAAAGGTTTATTCAGCCTAATTCAAGTCCATTTACCAGCCAATTTTATTGGTCGCAAAGAAAGATGGTTCGTGGTGTTTTTGTGTTGATTACTAAAAATGAAATGGCATTATAGTCCCAGACAAGTGTCCAATTCCCAACATTGACAAGTTACTAGACGAATTAGATGGGGCAGTCTATTTTTCCAAATTGGATTTGTGCTCTGGATATCACCAAATCAGGATGTTACTTGAGGATATTTACAAAATAGCATTTCGTACTCATTCAGGGCATTATGAATTCACAGTTATGCCTTTCAGCTTAACCAATGCTCTAGCCACTTTTCAAGCAGCAATGAACGATTTATTTTGTCCCTATTTAAGAAAATTTGTGCTGGTCTTTTTTGATAATATTTTTATATACAATCCCTCTTTTCAACAGCACTGACCTCACTTGCGTATCATCTTGCAAACCCTACAGGAAAGTGCATTTTGTATCAATTTGAAAAAAACAAAAAAAAGCTTTATGTGGAAGCCAAAAGTTCCCGTTTTAAGGCACCAAATTTCTACCTAGGGAGTTGAAGTTGAGACTGAAAAGGTGGGGATAGTACGAGAATGGCCTATTCCTAACAATGTAAAGGAGTTACGTGGGCTTTTAGGCCTTGTAGGATATCACCAATGTTTTGTGAAGAATTTCGAGATTATTGCATGACCCCTTACTGAATTGGCTAAGAAGGATGCCTTTTTATGGTCTGAACCAGCTTACAAGGCCTTTGACAGCCTTAAACTTGCATTGATGATGGCACCCGTCTTACAGTTGCCCAATTTTGAGGAGGACTTTACAGTTGAATGTGATGCATCTATAAAAGGGATTGGAACTATACTTATGCAAAACAACCATCCCATTGCTCACTTCAATAAAGGGTTCGCTTTCTCTAAACACTTCATGTCTACTTACGATTGCAAACTTCTAACTTTAATTCTTAAGGAGGCACTTCTTTGTCAAAACAAATCATGCTAGCCTTCAATAATTATTACAACAACGGATCACTACTAATACTCAATAGAGGTTAATCATCAAGCTCTTACCCTTTAATTTTACTATCATCTACAAGGCAGGAGTAGAAAATAAAGGGCAGCCACATTGTCAAGACATCCACAGCATGCAGATTTTTTTCAATTGGCCGTACCTTTCGCTTCTGAGTTGGATGACCTCTCCCTTGAGCTGACATTAGATCCCTTCACTAATGAAATAATGCATGCTTTGTAAAAAGATCCATCATCTCGACCCAGATTTCCTATGGTTAATCAAAAACTTTTCTCTGATCACCGAGTGGTCATTCCTTATTCATCACAACTGCGACCAAAATTATGAGTAGAAGCCCATTCTACTACTATTACGGGACATGGCAGCTTTCTTAAAACATTTAAATGCCTTTTGGAGAATTTTTATTAGCCTACTATGAAAGCAGATATGAAGGCCTATGTGTGACATTATGCCACTTATCAGCAAAATAAGTACCAAACGTTGGCACAGCCAGACTTCTTCAACCTTTACTTATACCCTCGCGGATTTAGGAGGACATCTCACTAGATTTTATCACAAGTCTTCTAAAGTCTGGCAGTTTTGAGATCATTCTGGTAGTAGTAGATCATTTGAGTAAGTATGCCCATTTTCTTGCTCTTGCGCATCCTTACACTACTAAGGTGGCTACAATCTATTGTGAGAAAATTATCCGACGACATAGGGTGCCTCCCTCAATCGTCTCTAATAGGGACCCTATCTTCATCAGATGAGTACTACTTACCATTCCCAAACAACTGGTCAAATAGAGGTAGTCAACTACGGTTTGAAAGCCTATCTGTGGTGTTTTGCACATGAGCAACCCAAGTCTTGGCACAAATTTTTTTGCTAGGCTAAATACTCATACAACACAAGTCATCCTACATCAACCAACCATTCTCCCTTCAAGTTGGTTTACAGGCGAGATCCTCCTCCTCTACTTCCTTATATAAAGAGTGAAACACCTGTGGCTAAACTAGAAGAAGAACTAGAGACCAAGGATGCAATGCTCAAGCTTTTGA